AGCGAGGAGACGATTGTGACACGTACAACCAGCTGATGATCCGAATGCCTCCTCATGATGCTACAACATACTCTGGTCTTGTCACCAAGGTTATATCTCCTTATCCACTAGTTTGGTTCAAAACAATGGGTTCAGAATCGCGTGCTGGAAAGAAACCAAGTCTGCTCAAAATAAAGACCGAGATCCGGTGATACATCTAGGTCGTACTGCCGGGCCCTGCCGGTGGGAAACCTGTGTCATTTAGCTGTGTGCCATCGTCTTGGCATGTGTTGTACGCTACCCCGCCAGACCAGTTTCTCCCCGTATTCTCCGACCCCACATCCCGAAGTAACGTCTGCGAGGTTCCCTCGCATCGGCAGCGTCGGCGGCCTTCATCATCGGTTATGATATGGGGGTATGATGCTTGCAGACTGCCCTCATTTTCCTGGACCAAATCGTCCAGTGGTGGGTTGGAAATTGTGACCTACACCGCCAAAAGGCCCGCTAGGAATATCGACCGACTGCTTGTCTCGGGGTCACGGTGATTTCAGTAGCTCGTTCGAAGTGCTCCATGTCGTGTAGGTATTGTGTCAAGTGGCTGGCATATTACCATAGCCTCCCTACTGCAGAGCTGGAGAAGGGCGGGTGATGGTCCCGTAAGAAAAGACCACTCGGCAAGATATCTCAAGTCGTGATATGATGTACCAGCTTGCAATTCTGATGTGAACCCGAAGTTTGTCGTATTCGATTGAAATCGTGCAAAGTATGTACAAGAAACGCGAAAACCAGATCTAAGTGAGTCATTACCATCGACGATGCGCCAAGCTTGCCTATTTCTCCTCCGGAGATAAATACGCCCCAAGCCTGTCGGATGTTAGCTCGATCGCCATATGATGACTATTCAGCAGGAAGCTGCGTGGTATATGCAAGGCCTCAAAAAGGGGTACTCACCCAATGATTGCATAACAGGCACACATCAGTGCGCCCTTCAGTCCGTTCGTTTTCGCTGCCGTTCCCCCATCGTTTAAAATCAACATGTTCACAATCAATACGGATCCTAGCAGCGTCGCCATTTCAAAAATGTTAAAGGTGAGAGCCAGCTGGCGGTCGAGAATCCAGCCAGCGATAATGGTGAGTGGTGTCACGCACAGCGCGATCTGAATCGAGGAGCCGACGGCCACGGCCACGGCGAGGTCGAGCTTATCTTTCGCGGCGACCGTGACGACGGTGATATATTCGGCAATGTTGCCGACGATGGGCAGAATAATTAAGCCAATCACTGGCTCTGAAAGATGACCCTGATGGGTAACGGCGTCTATTGTGGAGACGAGGAATTCGGCGCACATGGACATTAGAGCCGATGTGACGACAAGAACCAGAATGGACATGAAACGGCTACCGGTCGGACGATGCTGGGCATGCGTCTGATTGCTGCTCGTGCGCATGAGCTCGAGAGTTGTCGGGCCAGAGCGCATGAAACCCGGGGCACTTGGGGCGCGGGATGTGGCCGCGGACCCGGAATTGGACCTGGAGTGGCGGCGTGAGCGGATGGAAGGGCTCAGTAGATAGTGGGCGGCCGGGAAACGAGTTGACGGGATCAATGTCGTTGTCGTTGGAACTTGAAGCGACCTTGTCAAGATTGGCCATTTCGATCTGGTCGGCGGGCTTCCCTGGAAAGTGCGGCACGGTAGGCGTGCCATCGTCGGCAAAACGAATGGTACGAGGGGGCAGGGTGTAAGCCCGGCTGCGCGAAGGAATTTGAGGCTCAGGAACAGCCCAGTGGCTTCGCTGGGTGCCAGTGCCTTCAGCCGGGATTGCGTCATGGGCTACTGGGCGGGTACGCAGCTCATGAACGAAGTACAATACGTAAATGACGAGCACCATGATGGCAGAGATGCGGCTCATCTTGAGAATGGCCTTATCCGCTCCTTTAGAGCCTTCGAAGGTGTAGTCAAAGGCGGTCTGTCAAGGTGAGCACAAGATCAATCACGGGATGGGGGCACTGAACCTACAGGCATCAGAAACACGAAGACAGAGACGAGCAGAAGGCAGCTGAGGAGTTGCGTGTTGGAGGTTGAGGGTGCAGAGGCATCGTGCCTCGAGAAAGTGCTGGCGAACAAAGCAGAGCCGAGAATCAGGAGCAGGTTGACGATGATGGAGCCAAGGATGGAGGCTTGCACGATCCGGATGTGGTTGTTGACCAGTGCGACGCTGCGCTGTTAGCAATGAGGTTCACCACGCCAGACACGATTACATACACGCTGTGAGGATGTCAGCACAGGGATTGAGGACCAGGAGGAACCGGAAAACGTACAAGATAATGAGCTCGACGAGGTTGCCGAGGCTAATGTTGAGCAGGGCACCGACAGTGTCGCCAGCATCGTTGGCGATTCTCTCCGTCGCGTCTGTCAACAGGGCCGACAAGGGCACAATGGCGATGACGTTGGTGATGAAGGTCAAGATGGGGCTCATGCCAGATAAGTAACTCGCAAGGCCGACAGGCACGAAGACGAGCAGACTGTTGAGCCAAGAGGCGAGTATCATCTCGCGGAGACTGCTCACGGATGACACGGCAGGCCGACCGAGGTCGGGGCCAATGCCAGACTCGTAGGCGTAGCCCGAGTCGTTCTGGGGAATGGGTGCCCATGGTCCTCTGCTGTCGTTACCCGAGAGAAAGGGTCGAAGGGCTTGCTGAACGCCGTCTGATGTCAGGTTAGGACGCGTGTGAGAGTGAGACAGCAGTAGTGAAAACCTGCCTCTGACGTTGGTCCTCAGCAACCCGGTGAAGCCATGGCTGTCCTGGGAACGGGCATCTTCAGACACCGCGCGCTCGAGGGGCAGAAGATCAATAGAACTCGAGGAGTCGCGCACGTCGTCGTCGTCCTCGCTTGAGTGGCTGTAGTCGTTGTTCACACCATTGAATGGGGTAACCCTCGGGTGGAGCGCAGCGGCAATAGCCATCAACTGGGCGGGCGGAAGCACAGGATGCGAACAGCTAGAATTAAAACAAGTATCGGATGTCGAACACGGATAAGTCGATGGAGCAAAACAAGACCAGTAATAAAAGAAGGGCGCTATACGATGCCGTCGTCGTCGTCGTCGCTGTCGTCGAAACAAGGTTCTCGTCAAAATACGGCGATGGAACAGTGTCGTACCGTGAAAAGACTGCAAAGGAAAAGGCCCCTTTTTCTTAAGGATGAAGAATCCAGGATGGGGGAAGGAGCCAGAACGAAGGGATCGTGAAATGAGGACTAGGTGCCTCTGCTGATGGAGCAGGGGTCCATGGAGCTAAGCTTCTTACAGTCCGGCGCTAGACTATTCAGAGGCTGGTGCTTTCTTTGGCATGAAGCCCATTCGCTGGCCCATCAATTGGGCAATGACAACCCATGCAACGGCAGGAGGAGGTCCAGGGAGCCCTTGCCTGTTGGGGGATGAGGAATTAAAGTCAGGCATGCCAGAAAGCTCCTGACACGCTGTAGTTTCGCCTCAACATGGGCTGCCTCAATGCCCTGTAGCAACTCTTCCCCTGTTTCCAGGCTCTTTCCTGGCTTCCGGAGCGCGCACATGCCACCCTAGCGCCGGCTCTCTCGGGATTCCTCGCGTGCTCACGCTGCATGTACATGTAAGGCTCCTTGGTAGTATGGAAAGCACCTACAGTAGGCACGTTACTCTTTCTACCTCTCTCCCGGGCTACCTAAGGTCAGGTAGGCATCCAAATCGTCAATGAGACGAAATCCACGTGATCAAGTCCCGGATTACCCAAAAGGTCATGCCAGTGGGTGTGCGAGCATGAGTGTCAATCATATTGGCCGGATGCCGATCGCGTCTGACTGGTCCATCTGGTTCGTCAACCCCTGACCGATCCGAATCAAGCTCTGACCTTTGTCTTGCCTGGCTCCCGGCTGTCTGGAGAGGAGCGAGCTTCAGGCTGCTTCGCTAATACTGGTCACGAGCTCCGGTGCCTGTAAGGCTGACGCACCGGCCACTGGTATTTTATTTGTTTAACCTTAGACTCAACTTGTCTGAAAGCCCCGGCGCTGGATGTGAATGTGGAGGATCTTGCCCCAGGCTTTATCAGGATCTGCCCCTTGCTGGAAACCATAGGTCTGAACCAAAGCTTGCATGACTGCCCAGGCCGTAGTTTCCACATCAGACCACCGACAAAACACTGCTAGTACCTCGACGATCTGACCGAACCCGAGATTACGACCGTGACTCGAGACGCGACGGACACACGTCTCCCTGTCCATGCGAGGTTTGATATGATCTGCCAAGACATGAGCCAGTGCCGGCTCGTCCCGCTCCATCCGGGCCAGCTGCCGGCAGCTGAGACCAGCTGGCTCATCAACATTCCCAGCATCTGAACAATGAACAAGCAGCAAGAGCTTTGGCCGTGCAGCAAAGACACCAGGGCGTATGCTCTGAATATACATCATCATCCCTTCTTGCGCCCACGACAACGAGGATTCGGTAGCACCGTGCAAAGACCGCCCTCGGATACAATTTCCCATAATGCTCGTCCGCCGCACCCTCCCCTCCTTCCGGCCGGCGCTGCGACCCAAACCTCGACATGCCGTACGCCACCAAAGCTCGAACCAAACCACCTCAGCCAAACCAGCCAAGCCCGCGAGCGCGCCAGCGACCACTGCCGCTTCCCTCTCCCACCCACAGTCCCGGTCTCGACCGCATCTCGACCGCCTCCCACAGCGGCTCAGGTTCCACACGGGGGCCTCCGGGCGGACCCCGTCTCCACACCATCGCTTCTTCGCGCTGACGGAAATTCACGGGCATCGGCCCTTGCTTGCCTTCTTTGCGCTCTTCACTACACGGCCTCGCACGCTTGAGTACCTGACCTCTCACTCGCAGCCTGGGTGCGCGACGGCGCCGAGAAGGCGGAGCGCTATTCAGTCGCAAGGGCTGGTTCGGGTTCGAGGCCGCAGATCGCGGGGCAGTAGCGGGGGCGTTCGCTCGGTCTGGCGACGCGGAGGCGGGGGACACGAGAGGACAGCTGGAACAGTGGCAGAGGGATGACGAGAGGTACAAGGTTGTTGTGGAGGTTGCGCTCGCGTGGGCTGTGACCAAGGCGCTGCTGCCCGCGAGAATTATCTTGAGTGTCTGGGGAACACCGGGAACGGTAGCTCTGTGGAAGAAAATCATCCGTAGAGGGCGGTAATTGACTGTTTCTCCCGAAAGAAGAAAAAAAAAAGGAGAACAAAAAATACGGCTGAACCAGGCACTTGGAGACAACGGAGGCGATTGATCATGAGTTTCTGTTCAGCTATCGTATTGGCTTTTTTACATGCAAATCCACCTGTCTACGAGACGGGGTCTCTCTACCATTCATCCTCAGCCTGCATGCAGCAAGCCGTGGTCAACGGACCACGACAGATTACTAGAGCACGCAACTCGCCTTTTCCGAATCACCGAGCAAAAATGGAAAGACACTTAAGCCTTCTCGTAGATCCAGTCGAAGGCAGCGGACTTCCACTGAACGAGGTCACCCTCCTTGAACCACAGGGCAATCTCCTTCTTGGCGTTCTCGACAGAGTCGGAGCCGTGGCAGACGTTGCGGCCGACGTCGATGGCGTAGTCGCCACGGATGGTGCCGGGGGAAGAGGCGAGGGGGTTGGTGGCGCCGAGGATGGCTGGAAGATAAAAACGTTAGCTGGCTGACTATGTACAAAAAAAGAACGAGGCAACGTACAGCGGCCGGTCTTGACGGCGTCACGGCCCTCCCAGACCATGGCGCAGATGGGGCCGCTGAGCATGTAGCTGATCAGGCCGGGGAAGAAGGCCTTGTCCTTGAGGTCGGCGTCTAAAGGGCGGTCAGTGAGCGGGGTCATCGGAGGGTTGTGGCGGTGTGTGGGGAGGTAACGTACAGTGCTGCTCAAGGTGCTCCTTGGAAGGGGAGACGAGCTTGATGGCAGCGAGCTTGAAGCTGGCCGAGTGTCAGTGCTTGCGATTGAAGCTGGAGTGATGTGTCTGGACTAACCCGCGGCTCTCGAAGCGAGAGATGATGGGGCCAACAAGGCCACGCTGGGGACTGTGTCAGTGGCGGTTTCGAGGGGCTACTGGCGATGGTGTCTCAGAAGAGGGCGTACCTGGACGCCGTCAGGCTTGATGGCGATGAAGCTGTATCTCAGTCAGCCTGGGTTGCGTGTAAATAATGCCATGCCACGTTGGCGAACCCCCTCGGAGGAGCCCTCGGAACATGGCGGGGTCATGTTGTAGAGGTCACTCACGTCTGCTCGGCGGAAGACATGATGTCGGTTTGAGGAACGGGAAGGTTCTTGAGTTGAGGAATAAAAGTATTGGCAGTTGCCTGGAGGTGGTCGTCGGGGTGGAAGAAGTCGTAAGTGTGGACGTAGAGGAGGAGAGAGAAGGAGAGAGCGAAGAGGAGGTAGCCGAACCAATTTTTTGGTGCTTGCTGGGCGGCATGTGGCGGGGTCGATTGGGCCTCCTTGACCAGCTTCTGGGGATGGAGGGGCTGCGCCATGTTGATTGGCGGACGACTGTACAGTAAAACTAGCAGTTATGTAAAGGACCGGCACTGTGAAGAAGGAACAGCCGAAGCAGAATCAGTATCGCGTCTCTTGGTGGATGCGCGCAATCGAATGCGTTGGACAAGAAGGCAACAGTTGCTGTGAATAGATGGTTCCCAGAAAGATGTTCAAAAGGTCGCAAGATGGACGCTTCGACCCAACGCCTATTCAAATTGACATTACCATGAGATGCACAAAGCTGGCATTTGGAGCTCCTTCCCACACAGCTTGGCCAGGGCGTCCAACTATATTCTATTCTTTTTCCCGAATACACCTGCTCTCATGAATATGTTTCCACCCTACCATCCACAGATTGCCACTTCTGCACCACCATAGGTTCAAAACAGAGGAGTTGAATCGATTGAATCGTACCTAAGAAGCGGGATGAAAACAGCCATCCTGAAGCTTTGTAAACCTCGGCCTCCGAGTTCGCACGACTGGCGTGTTCTCAGACCTTGATGCTGCTTTATGCATGTATCAGAGTCAACACACAACGCGGGGTTATCACCCCTGTGTCTCGGTTTGACACTAACCCTGGATGGGCCTCCCGAAGGACAGCTCAAGTCGCTGTTGCCACCATATGGTTAACATCGTGGACATTTGGCAACATCATCATCAGCGCCTTCAGCATCTTCACCAACAAGACTACAGCATCGTGCAGTTTCAATCTGACATGTCGATGCTTGATTTTTCTCACTGAAAATTCACTTTCTATTTTTTGTTTGTGCATTTCTGTAGCATCGTCTGTCATTCTCGCCATGGGGCCTCCCAGCCCTTTATCCTTTAGGCGGACAGCCATCCTCGGTCTGCTGTCCTTCGGCACCCTGATCCCCTCAGCATGTATGTCGCAACCTTGATCCATACAGCTCGAACTGAATTATCAAGCTGACTGATCAAGTCGCCGTCAAGGAACACGATTTCAAGAAATGCCACCAGTCTGGCTTCTGCAAGCGCAACCGTGATTATGCCGACAGCATCAACTCCAAGGGCTCAGCGTGGACTGCCCCATACGATATCCTCCCCGACTCATCCTCCTTTCAGGATGGTCAGCTTGAAGCTGTCATTCTCAAGACTATCAACGACAACAAGGATACGGTTCGACTGCCAATAACCATCTCTTTCCTCGAGTCTGGCACTGCCCGTGTTACTGTCGATGAGGAGAGGCGCCAGAAGCAAGACATCGAATTGAGGCACAACAGTAAGATTCGCAAGGAGCGATTCAACGGTGTGGAGAATTTGGCCATCACCGGCGGGCTCAACTTGGACACGGAGGCCAAGGTTACACATCAGGATAAGTCGCATATTACGGTCGCATACGGTCCTTCCCACAAATTTGAGGCAGTGGTCAAGCTCTCGCCCTTCGGCATTGAATTCAAGCGCGACGGCGCCACTCACATCAAGTTTAACGATGGCGGACTACTGAACGTGGAGCACTGGAGGCCCAAGATTGAGAAGCCCGTTGAGAAAGTCGAGCCAGCCGCCGAGGGCGAGCAGAAAGCCCATCGAGGGCGAAGAGGCGGCAACACCCGAAACGGTGGTTGGTAATGATGAGAGCACCTGGTGGGACGAGACCTTTGGCGGAAAACACAGACAGCAAGCCCAGGGGCCCAGAGAGTGTCGCGCTCGATATCTCTTTCGTGGGCTATGAGCATGTCTTTGGCATTCCCGAGCACGCTGGTCCCATGGCTCTCAAGCAGACACAGGGTGGAGACGGCCAGTACACCGAACCTTATCGTCTGTACAACGCAGACGTGTTTGAGTACGTCCTCGACAGCCCCATGACTCTCTATGGCGCCATTCCATTCATGCAGGCCCACCGCAAAGACTCGACCGTGGGTGTCTTCTGGCTCAATGCTGCCGAGACATGGATTGATATTACCAAGGATAAAAGCAGCGGTATCGTCAGCTCCAAGACAACTATGAACACCCACTGGATGTCGGAGAGTGGTCTGTTGGACGTCTTCGTCTTCCTTGGACCTACTCCCCAGGACGTGACCAGAAACTACGTCCAACTCACCGGCACGACTGCCATGCCCCAGGAGTTTGCCATTGGCTACCATCAATGCCGCTGGAACTACGTTTCTGATGACGATGTGAAAGATGTCGACCGCAAGATGGACCGATACAAGATCCCCTACGATGTCATTTGGCTCGACATTGAATTTGCTGACGACAAGATGTATTTCAACTGGGACAAGGATATGTTCAAGGACCCCATCAGCATGGGCGCGCATCTCGAGGAGCATGGTCGGCAGCTTGTCCTCATCAATGATCCTCACATCAAAAACAAGGATGGCTACAGCGTCGTCTCTGAGCTCAAGAGCAAGGACCTTGCTGTTCGTAACAAGGACGGCAACATCTTTGACGGCTGGTGCTGGCCAGGCTCCTCTCACTGGATTGACTGCTTCAACCCCAAGGCCATCGAGTGGTGGAGTGGTCTTTTCAACTACGACGCGTTCAAGGGCACCCTCAAGAACACCTTCATCTGGAATGACATGAACGAGCCCTCAGTCTTCAACGGCCCAGAGGTCACTATGCCCAAGGACAATATCCACTTCGACGATTGGGAGCATCGCGACGTGCACAACCTGAATGGCATGACCTTCCATAATGCCACCTACCAGGCACTCCTTACGCGCGAGAAGGGCGAGCTACGTCGACCTTTCGTTCTCACTCGATCTTTCTACGCTGGCTCGCAGCGTTACGGTGCCATGTGGACTGGTGATAACCAGGCGTCCTGGGAGCATCTCGGCATCTCACTTCCCATGATCCTCAACCAGGGCATTTCTGGCTTCCCATTCTCTGGCTCTGATGTTGGTGGCTTCTTTGGCGATCCTGAGGCGGACCTTATCGTTCGCTGGTACCAGGCTGGCGCCTTCTACCCCTTCTTCCGTGGACACGCCCATATCGATGCGCGCCGCCGCGAACCCTACCTCCTGGACGAGCCGTATCGAGGTATTGTCACTGCGGCGCTGCGTCTCCGTTACACCCTCCTGCCTTCCTGGTACACGGCCTTCCATGAAGCTCATCGCAACGGCAGTCCAATCGTGCGTCCCCTGTACTGGACTCATCCCTCTGATGAGGGCGGTTTCACTATTGACGACCAGTTGTTTATTGGTTCGACTGGTCTTCTTCACAAGCCTGTTGTGGAACAGAACCAGGAGTCGGTTGAGATCTACATTCCCGATGATGAGCTCTACTATGACTACTTCACTTATGATGTCAAGTCGACGTCAAAGGGCAAGCGCGTCTCAGTGGCCACGCCTCTCGAGAAGCTGGCGCTCCTCATGCGCGGCGGTCACGTCTTTGCCCGTCGTGATATTCCCCGTCGCTCGAGCCATCTCATGAGGTTCGACGACTACACCCTGGTCGTCGCTGTGAACAAGGCCGGCAATGCTGAGGGCGAACTCTACGTCGATGACGGTGACTCTTTTGATTACGAGGGCGGGCAATACATCCACCGCAAGTTCAACCTCGACAAGACCGCCAAGACACTTTCGTCAGTGGACGCCGAGGGCCGTGATACCAAGGCCATCAAGGCAGGCAAGTGGCTCGAGGCTATGGAGGCTGTCCACGTCGACAAGATTATCGTTGTCGGAGCCCCGGCTGCGTGGGACAAGGCGGCGGTGGAGGTTGAGTCGGAGGGCAAGACATGGACGGCGCAGGTCCGCTACCACAAGGCGGAGAAGGGTCGGGCGGCATTCGCGGTGGTTGGCCGCGTCGGTGCTCGCATCGGCGCTGATTGGACTATCAAACTAGCATAGAGTGGGTTATCCAAAGGCTCCCGAGCCAAAGTTGATCAAGCATTATCTTGGTTTGCGCACGCATGATCTATGTCGGTTGTTCTGCATTCGCAGACTCACGAGATTTGATTGGTTTGTCAAAATGATTCATAGCCGATTCTCAAGTTCACATCGTGAAACTCATCTCGGTAGAGACATTGGTCGACGTCTGCGAGTGTACTGCCACCGCATCCTTGTAACCATCCAAGAGTAACGGGGCATCACCCCCGAAGAAGCTGCCATGCCGCCCGACCCGAAGCACATTGGAAGCAGATCTACCTCATCATGCCGGTCGCTTGCGCGGGGGGTAATGGTCTTTAGGCTTCCGGGGCCGCCGCCATGAGGCAGCGAGTGTCAGTGTGGTATATCGTTTGCAAGGATGCCAAGACAAGCCAAAGCAGTTGATTGCTTGTATTCCGACTGTGCTCGATCATGATCCCGGCCGATCGACGATTCGCTACCCTTTCTCAGTGGGTCAGCTGGAGCCTGTTGATCGAGGGTTCTGGACTGTCATGTGTGTTTTCGGATGAGTGAGTGCGTGGAGTGGAGGCGACGATCTTGGGAGCGGCGCGGGAAACGGTGGCAGAACGGTGGATGGTATTGAGAGAGGTGCTTGATGCTGGTGTGCAGAGGCCGAGGAGCATGATGGGTGCGGCTTCGCGCCCACTGTTGGCGACTAGACAGCGGTGGGCTGCATCCTACAGGGGCTTCACGCACGCCCTCCGGAGCGGGCGCCGTACACCATGGACTCTGCGCACCGAACGGCGCAGTAGAGAGTCCATGGACTGCACTAACCTGAAGATAAAGGTGTTAAAATATTGGTCGTCTTGTGCAACTGTCAACGGCGGTTGGGGTCTAGGTGTCAAACGAGACTACAGCTTGTTGAATTCGCTTTGGAGCTGCTTACCAAGAGGGCAGGAAACTCAAGCTACACCCACAGAAGAACACACCTGATTTCCAGAGGCTCATTCAGAAGCTTGGCCGATATGACGGGCCATCGGCCTGCTGCAAGGAAGCGGTATCGCAACCAGTCCACTCGAAGTTTTCTACAGCTGCTGGCGTGCAGTGAGTCTCTTTCCAGGCTTCATGTTCGCGCGAGTGCAAAGATGTCCAGTTGGACGCACATCTGAGCCGATGCCACCCAGGCACCCAGCACTCGAAACTGCTAATCGAAAATTACTAGCAATCTATCAAACTCTTACGAGTGGGATTTTGAATCCACCAGTCGTTCGTCACAGCCTCCCTGGATCAGAGCATCGTAAAACCCCCCCAAAACATGCATTTCTTGGCTGTCTGGGAGTATTTTCTCAACAGAACCAACCGTCTGCACGGCCAGCCAGCATTAGAAGCCAGCGAGCCATAGCGCGACGAAAACAGCGGTTGGCAGGCGGGCCGAAAGAATTAGGTAGCGGCCGGGCGCCACACGGGCGGCAAACCATGACGGCCGCAGGGTGTCCGTGGCGGGCGGCAAAGGCGCCCCAAGGGCTCAGTGCACCATGTTTTCCCTGATCAGATGGCGTTAGGGGGCGTTGATCAACGGTGCATGTTCCTGCATTGCTGGCGGGTGGCGTCAACGTGCCCTGTAATCAAGCAAGCTGCCCGAGTGGAAGTAAATTGGTCATCGAACCAGGCAGAAACGCCTTGATCGAGAGCAAGAACCATTGAGGATCCAGGCGGGCGCAGTCTCGAACAATCTCAACGCCTTATCGAGTCAACGCAAGGCTACGATATGAGAGGCCTGATTCGTACAGCAGCGCCTCATGTCGGAATGAAATGAAACAGCCACATGCAGGCAATAGGAGAAGGAGGGCAAGGCACAATTCCTGAAGCGCATGGCGGTGCCCATCTACCGTCCGATAAGGTGCCGAATTTGGCGCACCTTATCTAACGCTAGGTGATCTCACGGCGCCGGCCCTGGACGCGGGACTCGCGGGTCTTGGCAGGCGAACGGCGCACTGTTGGTGCCGGCGGTACGGGTGCGGTGGCAACCCAGTGGGAGAGGGCCCTTCCCGGACGGTGCTCGCTGCTGGGTCCCTTCACCGGCTTGGCGGCTGTGGGCCTGCCCTCCTTGCCAAGGGGGCGTCAGACAAGGGGGGGAGGGTCTTAGAGGCCTTGTGGATGCTGAACGGTCGGTGCTTTCGGGGAGTTGGGGGGCCCGCCGTGACGTCAGGCCTGGTGTTTTGCTCGCTTCAAGTTCTGCCATCATTTTCCTCATGCTCGACGTGTTCGTCCCGCGATTGCCAGGCATGTGAGTGAGCGAATTCCCCCCTTGGCAGTACAGGTGATACGAGCTTGTGGCTTTCTTGCCTTGCAGAAGCGACATGTTGTAGTGGTGTGCTGTTGGGGGATCGTCGTTATCCCGAGGGCCTATGAATGGATGGCATGGCCGCAAAGGCGATTCGGAGTGGTGATCGCGGTGTCAGGAACGCGCCGGCAGGCAGCACCAGGAAGAGGCTGAACGGGCGACCACGTTCATCAAATCTTTGTGTCCAAAGGTACCGAAATGCCGAAGCTTCACGAAAGGTCGTAGCGAAAGAATCGGTTCACCTGCCACTAGGCAGTTCGATCGTCAGAAGCCGCTGGCTTGGACTAGTCTTGCCATCTAAAGTCGTTCAGTGACGTCTCTTCGGAGTCATGTCGACATTGGGAAGATGAAAGTCTCCAAACAGGAGGAAACAGACCTCTGAACAGACCCGCTGGGCCATCATCGTCCGCCTCGCACCGTCGCTAGAAACGGTGGGATTCATCAGAGGTTTGATTCGACGTGCCAAGTGCGCTGCGCAGAGAAAGACTGGAGCGTGGTGGGTCCCTGATCGAAATGACGAAGGAGGTTGTGACAAGACTCCAAGGCTCCTGGTCCCTCTCGACCCACTTGAGCATCTTGGTGGTGGACGGTCGACAGCAGACAGACAGATTTGCAAGATGCAAAAGCCTAGGAGGGGTGGTTCTTTTCCTGGGTTTGGTAAACTCCGAGGAATTCCAAGCCTCGAGCGCTCAATGCAATCGAATCGAGCATGGTCTGGAGCTTCCCTCGATGGACCCTGGGTTCCACCTCGGGGGCACCTTCTCTCTCACTTCCACCTCCTTCCTCTCCACCTCCACGCATCCATTGATGGTCGATGTTTCCTTTCCCTGTCCCCTTTTTCTCGATTCCTCCTTCTGAACTTATTTTTCCTGCTCCTTCCTGCACTTTCGCATCATACTCTTGTCAATCTATTTCCTCCTCGTCTGTCGTTGACGCGTGAAAGCCCATATTCACCACCCATCTATCCGCTGCATCTTGCCGAACCGCCTCGCTGGGTTCAGGCCTTTTCTTTCCCTTTTCTTACCTATTTCTACCTATCTACCTATATGCCTAGGTAGCTATCCCTGTTCGATCGTTGGGCTTGACGATTTTCCACATACTTTCAAGCGCAGGG